AACATAGTGGTAAACTTGTCTCTATTGTAATAGATACCGATACGATAGATAGATAGACTAGATAGATAGATACGGGACTACGATAGACTAGATACAATACTGACCCAGAACTGAAGATAGTTCTTTATTTAAGTCCCTGGAGGGAAATTGGCTCGTCATCACGCAGCCAGGGTACATTAAAATAACCAATAAAATACCAACAATAGAACATAAAACTACCTTACGCTAGGAACACAGTAAAAAAAACACACAGTACACAGGTAGGCTACCCCACGTGCCGAGACAGAGTCTGTACTGCACAGAGGCTGGGTGAGCACTCATCCTCGGAGCCCCACATGAGTCGGTCACCGCGCGTGTGTATTGCTGTAATCAACATATAGCGTAGGATGATAGAGAATTGAATAATATTTCATAATAACATAAATAAAATAATATGTAATATCAGGAACACAACTGAGCGAATAGGAATAAAAAAACTGGGAAATGGATGGAGAGAACTGAGTGATAGAAAGGCCGCTTCGTATCATTATAAACTACATTATTATAAACAGTTCCCCATCATTGGGTACGATGCATTTTCTGTCTCATGGGGAACCATGTGAATTGTTACCGCACAGAGAACTAAAATAAATTTCTAAACTGGTCTTTTAAAGAAGACATCGCGCCATGTAGTCAGTCTAATGATGGGTGATCGTCATTCGCGAGTTTATAAATTCCCTTCTATGCTGTTTTTCATGTAATTCTATATGAGGCCATGTTCAAAACTACCTTCCTCAGAATCTAGATGCTGGTGGTTTCGCGGAGCTGGGTCTCATGGCTAACATGTCCCTTGCGCACATTCAGAAACAAACATAAAACAACAAGTCAAACAATGAGAAATATATCAGGATGTGTTTCAGCTTTTCAAAGAAGACCATGGCCATTTTTTTCTATGAAAAACTACAACTCTATGGTTTACCAACAGTTTGCCAGCTATGTGCTACCTTTGTGTTCACATAACCTTAACACATCAATACTTAGGAATAACAAGCTAACAGCGTACCAATCAATTGGATTAATAATAGCGAACTCTCAAAATAGACACATATACATACGTCGTCAAACATTACACACACAAATACATACAGTATTCCATTGTAAAACACCAGAACCTTTAGTGTTGTCAGAAGCTGTTTTCCGCAGCTTAACCACACCAAACACAGACGTCAAGTGGAAGTCAGTTATAAACTTTCCAGGTTGTGTTAAAGGGCTACTCTTTAATTTGATTTCCACTGTGCTGTAAAGGTGGTTTTTGATTTAGAAGTTGTGTTTAGCACAATATAAGTTTATTCTTGTGATAGGAGGACAAGATCTCTGAGCTGATATATCCAAGGAATAGGACGTAATAACTGGTTATAACCAAAAGGAGACACCTGATGGTCAGACCAAGAGCCATGATGACGATGAGCTAGTGTGAACTTGCAGATGTTAAAGGGAGCTTATCATCTCAGTATACAAGCGTGTGTGATGACCAAGATGAAATAGGTGTGCTGTGTCTTATATTTTGAGTATTACATAATAAACGTGTTTTGGAGGTATATTACCTGCCCAGGGACGCAGATGAAGATATCAGTATTCAAAGCATCTCTTTGCTCTGAGAGTGATGCTTTTTTCTACCATATCACTGAAATAATAAACACAGTGATTTAAAACACACACACCCCACAACAAATTGCCCGTTTTTCAAACACTTGCTTTCGTAGGGATTGAACCTAACACTCGTACACTAACAGTTTAAAAGTGCTTTGACAGAAAAAGCAGACGATCTAACCGGTGAAACACAAATTACACTTCAAGCATTTAAAAAATAAAGAAATACCAAAATACGTAACTAGATCGAGAGCAGAATACGAAGCCGTCAAAATATAACACAAGAACATAAGATAACAATGGAATAAATAGATGAAAGTAAAAAAACAACCAACACGATAGAGACGGCAATTGTAAACAATGGGTTAGGAAGTGATTTAAAACTAGTTATTTAAACAGCTGGAAGGTGGGTTTTTTATTACCTGCTAGACAGAATAGCAACAGACAGACTTTCCCGACGATTTAACCATGACAAGATCATAAAAAACAGAGTTATTAGTGTCAAACCTGAACAATATACAGTGAGTGATGGTCAAACATCCAAGAGAAGTAAAAAACAACACATGTTTTAAGTAGAGGGGTACTTTACCATCAACTCAAACTCATAAAGTAACACATACAAGGTAAGAGATGCTCCTCCGTCTCCCCAGTTCGAGGGGTTTTTTATTCCATTCCTGTTCGTTTGCCGCTCTCCCCCAACTCCCGTTCAGCCAGGCACCACGCGCGCGTCTGTGGTCCTCCAGCGCGTTCCTATACCTTCTTGTCGCGCGCCTCCCTCGAGCCTCGCTTGTCGGGGCGTGAACATCTCACCAGCCCAGCTGCTTTGGAAATGGTCATACCAGGCAGAGCGCCCGTGAGCTGCAGAGTAGGGGGGCCGATAATACGGAGGAAAAAATAACAACATTTTTTGTGTGTGTGTGTGTGTTTTGTAAGCAGCAAGCGAGGGAATATGTAATAACTGACGGAGCAGGAAGTAAGTTAGCGTGTGTATTTAGTGACCTTTGGACTTCATATTCAACATTTTTATCTAGCTAACCTAAATACTCCACCAACCGTCAGTCACCGCTCTTCACTACGTCCTGGCGACCAATCGTTGCTAAGCACGCTGCGACGTCACAGTGTTTGGCTGTGTGTGTGTGTGGACAGCGCAGGGAGTGACCGCACTGATAAGACAGACAAACCCTGCCCGTTTCACAAACTTATATCACAATACAGCAGCATGTGTGGAGACTTAGCTCTAGGTGTGTAAGCATTTTTAGTCCGCTCAGACAACACACACACACACATACTGTATAACGTTACATATCGCTTAACGTTACGTAGCGGAGGAGCTGACAACCAGAGAGAGAGAGGTGAGTAACATGTAACAGCTTTGACCTAACGTCACCTGCACCAGCTTTATCGGTTAACATTGAGCTATCGTAACTTCTACAGCTAGCGTTAAAGTGCTGTATTAGTCCTACACTAAGTGGGCCAGAATGTATAAAACAACATAAAGCACAGACGAGACAATTTAGCCTAAAATTAGCGCGACGCTGTGCTGCTAAATTGTTTTATTATGTAAACCGCCGGGCGCGTGACTGTGTGACGTTTTTGCAACACTAACGGTTTTGTAACGTTTATAAGAAACGGTTTTCATGCCTCACGTTACTTAACAGTTGTCGGTTGGTGTTAACACGACGGCACGGAAACCATCTTCGGTCAGTCTGCACTGAAGTTGAATCACCATGCAGTAATAATACATAAATTAATTAATAAACTGGACCTTAACTTCCTAAAATGTCCCTCTGAAATACAGACCGACCAGTGCTGGGTTAATGAGGCAGATACCAACATTAATGTTAGAGTCAGTGCCTGAAGTGGATCCACTAAATGTGCCAGTACCTTAATTCACTACAACCTTAATTCTTTATTTATCCATTTTAACAAGGACATTTTCAGTGCTGTTTTCTCAGTGTGACATTTAGGGTTAGGGTTACTGCTGGGTTTTTTTAAATACTGATGTCCAGACCTTGGTGGCCTCAGTGGTGAGTAGACCATCCTCCCCAGAGTTGGCAGTACTCAATAAGAAGTAAGGGTACTCATGTGGACAAAAATCAGAAGTGCTGGTGCTCAGTACTGGTAGGTACTGACCCATTTCAGGCACTGGTTTGAGTGTTTGAAGCGGCTATAATCAATAGTTTCACAGAGTAGGGGGTCTAGTAGTGATGACTCCACAGAAAACTATAACATGACTCAGCAGTTCTCCTCTGCTTTGTGTAGCTTTAAACTGTCTTTTATAGGGATTCACAATTATTATTGGGGCGACACTGTTGGGGGCTTTATGCTCTATGAAAGCCAAAGTATGTTTGCGAAGTATTTCGATGAACTTCAGATCAGTTGTCTGTTTTTGTGGCGTTGGATTTGGTTAGAACAGAGCTATGGGATATTAAATTATCCATCTTTGCTCGGTACATCTTAGCCTGTGTGTAAAAACTACAGGTTATGATTCACTTTGAAAGATATCTGCCCGCCTCAAAAAGAGAATGAGCTCTAAGAAGACAAGAGGATTGATATGATTGTCTTTTAGGCCAATATCTGGACAAGTTACGCTGCTTTGGGGCTCATACAGTTTTAACATATTGTATTTTGTAAAATTAAGGAGTTTCATAATGCGCTTTTAGGTTTTTGCAACAGGGGCTTAAGGATGCTAGGCCGAGCAAAGGATGGGATTAAGTGGTGTAATATTCCCAGTACGGCTGTTGCTAAGGGCCGAGAGATCCAACGCCGCCAAATAACAGACAAGGGCTGGAGGTCTGAGGAGTGCATCGAAGATATTTCGCCAAGACATACTTTTGCCGTTTTGGCGAGGTTAGTAGCATATAAGAGCCGTTGTGGGCTTCCAACAGGTGTTCGGCCCGAATAATGAATTGTGGGAATCCGCGTGATGAAAGAGACAGGTTGTAAACCTGACAGCAAAGCAGAGCGGAGGAATCTGCCTGAGTCGAGTTTATAGTTTTCTGTGTGATGGTTCATCACTACGTAGACCCCCTACTCTGCTGAAACTATTGTGATTATGAGCCCCTTCAAGACACTCAGAAACCAGTTTGCCTGAAATGTGGTCAGGTAGCCTACCAGTACTGAGCATCCAGCACTTCTGATTTGTTTCCAGCGATGGGAGTACCTTAACGTTCTTATTGAGTACTGCCGAATCTCTTGGGGGGAGCGATGGTCTGAGCTCACCAACTGGGCAGGGCCACCCAATGGGGTCTGGAGCATCAGCTATGTTTAAAAGGAAACCCAGTCTGTACAGCGAGTGGAAGCCCTAACCCTAAATGTGTCACACTGGAGAAAACAGGCAGGCTGAACAAGTGGTCCTTGTTAAAAGATGGTATAAACAAAGACATTAAGGTTTGTTAGGCTGAAGTTAGGCGTTTGTAGGTGAATTGAAGCGTGTGCTTTGTGAGATTAAGGTTGGTACGTGAGAGTTAGATGGTAAGGTGGGCCACAGGTTGTAGTGGGATCCATCTTCAGGGCGAGCTGACGTCTAACATTAGATGTTGGTATCGCCCTGCATTTAACCCGCCACTGGTCCGTCTGTATTTCAGGAGGACATCTTTTTAGGAAGTTAAGGTTCCTGATGGTTTTATAATGTCAATTTATGGGTATTAGTTACCTGCATGGCTGGATTCATGCACTTCAGTGCAAGACTGGGAGTCGGAGAGAATTGGTTTTCCGGTGCCGTCGTGGTTAACACCCAACCGGACAAACTGTAGATAACGTGACGGCTATGGAGAAACCGTTCTCTATAAACGTTATACAAACCGTTTAGTTGGCTTGCAGAAAACTCGCTTCACACAGGTCACGCGCCCGGCCGGGGCGTTTACCGATAATAATGAAACAATGTTAGCAGCACAGGTCGCGCTGAATTGGGTAGGCTAAATTGTCTCGGTCTGTGCTTTTTATGTGTGTTTTTATACTGAGGTTCTGGGGACCACTTAGTGTGAGGCGACTAATACAGCACGTGTTTAACTCTTAGGCTTTGTAGGAAGTTACGATAGGCTCAATGGGTTAACCGGATAAGAGTGGTGGCATGCGGTGGACTGTTAGGGGTCAAGAGCTGTACAGTGTTACTCATCCTCTGGTGTCTCTCTCTGTTGTCAGCTGCCTCCGCTATGCGGGCCGTGAGCGTGGAAAGCGATACTGTAACGGTTATGGACAGTATGGTGTGTGGTGTGTGTGTGTGTGGTGGCTGTGGTGTTGTCTCGGAGCGGAGTCTAAAATGTCTTACACACGCCTAGAGCTAAGTGCTGCCTCACACATGGCTGGGCTGTAGGTGTTGTGAGTATATAGGGTTTGGTGAAGACGGGCAGGGGTTTTTGTCGTGTCGTATTCATGCTGCGGTTCACTCCCTGCGCGTTGTCCACACATCATGCACACGACAGCACACAGCGACCGCACACACGATCACACACACGACGACAGCCAACAGGCACTGTGACGTCGCAGGGCGTGCTTAGCAAGACATTGGGTCGCAGGACGTAGTGAGAGGAGCGGTTGATCTGACGGTTTGGCAGTACTTTAGGTTGTGGTGGACTAGATAAAAATTGTTGAATTATGATGTCCGCAAAGGTTCACTATAATGAACACGCCGTAACTTACTTCCTGCGTCGTCGAGTTTAGTTATACGATGAGTTCCTCGCTTGCTGGCGCTTGACAAAAACACACACGACCACCACACACACACACACCGACACACAGCACACGGCACAGCTGGATACGCTGGGGCCGGATTAGGCGACAGAAAGATTACAAAAGCGTGCAAGATGTTCCTCGCGCCGGCGCGTTCCTGCGAAGTAGTTTGTCAGTATGGAGGTTGTTGTTGGTTGCCTGGGAAACTGTTGTAACACTTAAAGCTTATAGAGCGATGCGTCGGCTGCTGCGTGGGCTTAATACGTTTGAAGAAAGCTAGGTGCGGGTTAAAATTGCTTGGGGCCGTTGCCTAAATGGCAGACTTTTTGACTCATTAGAGCGCCAGTTTGACCATTAATGCTGCTGGCGATATCAGGGGTTTTACACATGGTCAAGAAAAACAAGAAAAAAGAAGAAAAAGAAAGAAAGAACGTATCTTTTCGCATTCAATGTTTGCTTGCGAAAACAGTCTTGACACAGGGCAGCTTTCTACAGACGCAATCAGGCTTCTTAAGAGGATATAAGTTATGCTGGTGATGTTATAAACTTGCTTATATTAAAGGGTACGAGTAAGTACCTACAAGTTAATAAGTAAAGTGCCCCCTGGAAGGGTCCACAGTGACAGTAGTCGGTACTTGTTCTCTATGTGTATAGATAGATGAGTTGGAGTTAGAGTAGATAGAGTAGAAGGATAAAGTACGATAGATAGATTTAGGTCTTTTATGTAATCGCCTGGAGGGAAATGGTGGGTGGGCGGTCATAGCAGGGGGCCAGGGGTACATTATAATTACAATAAATACAACGAATAGAAAAAAATATCTGTAGCTGAGAAAAGATAAAAGAAAAAGAATAAGTGAGCGTAGTTGTATTAATGGCATAAGAGTGTTTGCAAGATTGTACTGATGACATGTGATTTGTGGATGTTTAATAACTTTTTTTTTTGAATTTTTTATTATATATATAAAACTAATTTATAATATGTGGTATTATGTTATAATATGATGAGGCTGAATGGATGGGAAACTTTGATAGATCCCTTTATATATATTCTTTATTATCCTCTATTTGCGTAATCCATGTTTCTGTTCATGGGGGATTCATGT